GTGGCCATAGGGAGTGGTAAGAGGTGGGCTGTAGGGTGGCTGGTCAGGGCTAAAAGGGAGCTGGTCAGTGGGCTGACAGGGGGCTGTAGGGTGGCTGGTCAGGGGCGACAGCAGCGCTAGCCACCCTACTTTTTGTTTTTGGTTTTTTATATTTTTATATAATTAATAATTGTTTTTAAATATTATTATTAATAATATTATCATTAAAATTAAAACAATAGACCCGGACAAAATTAGTGTCTACAGAATGCTCTATCTATCCTAAACTTAGTCGTTGACATCCCAACCTGCCATGCATGCCTAGCTCGGTATGGCTCATATCCTTGACAAAGATTTTCAGACTCCAGCTAAATCCAATTAGATGGGAGAAAATATTTTGTATTTCAATTTAAATTTAATTTCAAAATATATTTAAAAATATTAAAAATAATATTTTTAATATTTTAACAATAAAGTAGATTATAAGGCTTAAACAGGTAAAGTAGGCGTGTGAGGTCAAGTTTTGTACCAATTTTTAGAGGTGTTAATCGCGTCTGACTTGATCCATGGACATGCATCTCTACTAAAAAAAAAAATTGCTTTGTTGATGGTAAGTTGCAGGTCCATGAGGTCCATGGGTGCAAATAGATCCATGGCTCCGTGAAGACTGAAGAAATATGTCCAAAAATATACTAAGAAAAAAGATTTCGAAATAACTAGTTGGTCATTTGGTCTAACAAGTAACAACAGCAGCCCCAGTTCAATATAAATACGAACATAAATCATGTAGTAAACCGTTATTGAAAGAAATATTATTGGTGAATCGTATTATTATATTGTTTGAATTGGAAACCGACATTCAATTTTTAGCCTAAAAAAAGGCATGCATATGATAGGGATGTGGCCGATGCAATCATTTCTAGTATATTTTGAGTTGCAGACTTCAGAAAAAGGGAAGCAAGAAGAAACAAATATAAGTTATTGAGACCATTAGCTCATATATAGAACAAGATAAACTTAGCATTATAGATCATTAATTAATGACTGCAATAAATTCTTTTCATTGCATTTTTTAAGGTCTTAGTCTACTTTTAATCCTTTTAATCCCTTAATAAATATGATTATGAACCAGATTGGCTTGAGTTGAAACTACTTGACACTTCAAAATTCTTATTCATGACTTGACTTGATAAGGTCCAAATTGGCTGATGATATTGTTCAAAAATTATTAAAAATTTATATTAATATTTTAATATTTTAAAATTAAAATTAATTAAAAATAAAAATAAATTTTATTAATTAAATAATATCTTGAAGTAAACCAAATGGATTTGAAAAATTTTATACAAGACTCTAGCAGAGATGTCAATTTTATCTATATCTAATGAAAAATCCAATTTTTTACTCAAATGAAATAGAAAAAGATATTATATTATGGGTATAAAAATAGAGATGGATATTATTTTTAATTTTTATTAGATAAAAAAAATTGAAATGGATAATATAATATCAACCTCGTATTCATATCAGTACCTTATATATATTTAATAAATAAAATTTTTATTAAATAATATAAATTATTATTTTAAATTAATTAAAATTTTTTATATATTTTTAGGGGATTATCCTTACCTATTAAATACTTAAAGAATAGAGATATAAATAAATTTAAAATATCTGTTAAGTATTAAATATAGATAAAAAAATAAATATAATATAAAAATCTAATAATACCGATTGCCATCTATAGACTCTGATGAGTGATCCGACCGGTGAAAGTCAACCCCTTAACTAGAACTCAAACAGTAGTCTTTTGCAGGGCCTTCAACTTTCATTCGGGTACCATTTGAGACAAAGCTAATTTGCTCCTTTTCATCGCATTTAATTATGATGGATTGATAGAAGAAATAAATTGTTTAATTAGCATAATAATAAATCAACTACTTCAAATGTATAGATTGGGTGGGGGGTGGGAAGGATTCTGAGTAATTTGAAAGTGTTAAAATTTATCCCCATTTTATGAATCATGAATTATCTTAAGATTGAAGCTTGAAACCTACAAGATAAATGTTAAATTCTAACCATTGAGACGTCTAAATATCCATAATCTCCTTAGAAAAATATAAAAAAAGCATAAAGTTGAAGAAAAATGTATATTATATTGCTTGAGAATCATATTTGGAGGTAGTACGTCAATTTAGCACTCACTGTCAAATTGATTCATTGATGATAAGCATAGTTAACAAGTGAAATGCCACGATTCCATGCACCAAACACTCCCCCAACTAATTTTATACAAGAATCTTTTTTTGGCTACTTACTTACTTTATTATATGTATAAAAGAATCTTTAGTATATTCTTTATTTGCTCATTTCTGACAAATTGTCAATAATATAGTGCACAAATGATTCTTGTTCTACTTTTTTCTACTCTAGAAAATGAACATAAGAATTGACCAACCAACGCCTTTTCTCAAGAAAATAATTTAAGTTCATTAAATGAAATACCATATGATAACAACACCTCAATTGTCATAAACATGAAAAAAAATCAAGTGAAACACGAACTTTTCATGTGATCATCGTCCAAGAAATGAAAGACATAATTTAGCGTAATACAAAAGATCATATTTTGTAAGCAAAAGCTAGTGAAAAAAAAAAATACTAATGTTTAACCTTCAAATTATGCCAAATAATAATTTGTTAACAATATTATAATTGTTTTTTCTTTTTTTTTTAATTGATTTGAAAGTTGAAGGAGGATGAAATTCAATCAATAACCTTTTAAATTAAAAGGAAGGATTAAAAACGATGCAACTAAGTCTAATTTTTGAAGAGCAAGAAAACCTAAGTTTAATTTTTTTCCGCAAGGATTTTAAAGATATATTCCTCGATATTGATGTTAGACCAAACATTCAATAAAAAAAAAAAAAAAAGAAACCAAATAATAAAACATCTATAGAAGGGACTATAATTTAATACGATTCAAAGTATAACTTGCTTATGTCTATACAAATAAGAGAAAAGTCTACAAATTGTAAAAAATTACAATGATATTAATAATTCACTTAAACACTCTATCTCAGAATCCAACAAATACATACAAATCAATCTCAATTCACTCATCAAACCCAAGTCAATTCCAAATCCAAATAAATTTATTAACACTCTCGCTCAATCGATTATGAACGCTTTATTTCGATTCCTATGAACACTTTCATTTGATCTCTAACCAAACACCAAAATATTACATCTATGGACAGTCTCCCTTAGTCTCGTATGATGTCTATACATTTAATTTCACAAATTTTGTAATTCTCTTTACATCTTTATTTTGTGCCTTTCCTTATTGAGATTCCATTTTATTTATAAGTTTACTTACTTACTCACCAAAATTAATTGGTTATTAAACAATATTCTTTGTTGATCCCAAAAAAATTCAAAAAATATATTACTAAATATTTTTGAGATTTAAATCAATATTTTCAACAATAGATCGGGTACACTCATAGTTTTACTCTCAGGAATACTCCCAATAAACATCAAATCTTAAGGTCCTTTTGTATCAGTATTAAGATTAGCTCCAATAATATTGAAAATAGTGGTGAAATTAATTAGTATAGTTTATATTAAAACCAATGGTGATATATGTGTTTAAATGCAAAAAAAGTAATGGTGGTGAAATGAATTATAGTGAAAATAAAAAATAACCATTAAAGATATTTGATTAATTAAATTATATATAATAAAAATTTTAAATTATTTAATATTTATAAAAGTAATTAATTATTGAAAAATTATTGAATTATTTTCATATCAAATAATAAATAATTAAAAATCAAAAAGTTGATTTTGTCAAAAAATAAATTATTCAAATACTTTTAAGTAAAAAAGTTAAAAGTAAAATAAAATGAAAAAGAGAGCGTTGAAAAATATAGACAAAAAAAGAGATGAAAGTAGAAAAAAACCTTTAATTGAGTTTTACAATATTTCACAAGATCCTTGAAGGTTCAGTCACAGATTAAAAATGGAACACGCTCACACACCGTAAATTTGTAATCCAAACGCAAAAATAACACATTTGCACCCTTTATTCGCTTCTCATCAAGGCTATGTTCAAATTCAAATCAGGCCTTAATTAACACATAAAAAAAAAAAAAAAATCTTCTTTTCTTACTGATAGAACTAATTTTTGTGAGTGCCTTTATTATTGCATTGAGATTGTCATTGTTTACAAAGAAATCTAAAAGAATTTCAAACTTTTAATTTGATTTTCTCAAAATATGTCAATATATTATTTATGAAAAATCTAGAAAATTAAAGGAAAAAATGGATATTAGAATGGAATAGTGGTTGTGGTTGTTGGCTATATAACAAGATATTAGGCAATATATCTTGATTGAAGAGGGGCCATGGTTAGTTAAAGCTGTGAAATAGAAGCAACAAACACACAAAAAATAATAATTATTACCCTAACTTAAAAAATGACATTGAAAAAAGCATCTCTTAATCTTAGCTAACCCATGATAGTAAACAAATAAGGAGACAAAATCCCTCCAAACCACTTCTCCTTCCCATCCCTTCTCCAGCTCACATTCTTTCATACCACGCCAAAACGTTCCCCCCAACCAAACACTTTTTCCCCACTCACCTCCCCATCTAAATTCCCATATAAATATGTCTATATTTTATCCCTATTATTCGTCACCTTTTCTTTCTTCTATGCCAACTATTTCACAATTCTTTGTTTAAGGCTATTAAACAAATTTTCTCTCCAATTCCAAAGGATTTTCGACTGTTCTTCCTTCTAATTATTGCAAAATCCAAAATCTGAGGTACAAATTAACAAGTTGCTCATGATCATGAGAAAATCGTCACTAAAAGTTTTTATTATACCCGTCCTTGGGAATATAAATTGATCTTTGTTTTTGCACTCGTAAAAACGGAATTATTTATTTCATTTTTCTTTTGAGGAGAAGAGAGTTATTCACATTTTATTCATCAAATTTTCTTTGTCTAAAATGTTATGTTCTAGTTTATTTTCTATTTTGATTTTGATTTTACCTTGCAGTTAGATATTCATCATGCAGAAACCAACATCTCCATTTTCCAATCAAAATTCCAGCTCCGCTGCTACCGCCACCTCATCCACCACTGTGGAAAACCAAAACTATGTATCACCACCGCCATCTCCACTTCAAAACCATCACCAATATTACCACCAAGATATAACTACTGACTTCGCTTCAATGTACAACTTCAGTTTCCCACCAAAATCTCCTCTCCCCCATTCCCTTTCCCTCACGCCTTCTTCTTGCGCTTCCTTGGATGACCTCCACATTAATCTGAAGCTCACATCCGACGCCATAGCCACCGAGCGCCGCCTCAACCAGGCTCGTCTCATCCTAGAGTATCAACAACTCTGTTACCATTTCGACCTTTGTTTTGCTCGCCTCCAAGATCTCTTTAGAGAGCTTGAAACGCTGCGTATTGAGAATAGCGATCTGCGGGTGGCCAACAATGGGTTGATAAAACTCTTAAGCCTGTCGTCCCAAGCTGCCACGAAAAACCGAAACCTCGAACGCGAAGAACCGCTAGATTTGAATGTGAAGAGGTGGGAGAGGAGGAATAACAACGCTCAGAGGAACTCGCTGCCGAAGAGCGTTTCAGTCAGGTCAACTACTTATCTTCAGGTCAACCGAGAACAAGGTTCGAGCGACCAGCAGAGAGTCGTGAATCCGTCGGTGAGTTAATTTAGTTTTTGGGGAGAGAAATTATTTATTCATATATTATATATAGTTTCTTTCGTTGCATATTTTTAAAAAAAATTTGAGAACTAATGAAATGCATAATTATGTTGTGGCAAAACTGATATAAGAATTTTATTATATCTAAACGATATTTGTTTTAAATTTTGTTTTAGAGATTTTAAACAATTGTGATATATATTTTAAATTTATCTTAAAATATATCAAACTATTTACGTTTTTTCTTTTCTTTCTTGTACATATGATAAGTTACATGGACCAGATTGGGGATGTGAAGATTCTGAACTAAGTGAAACTCAAATTTTTTGAGGGTAACATATTAATTTATAATAATTATAATATAATTAATCAATCACAATTTAAAATTATATAAAAATTATTAAAATTTTATATAAAATTCACATTAATTTTTTATTATAATTAAATAATTATAATATTATAGTAAAAATAAAATTATAGGTGAAATGTTTCCTTTTTAAGAGGTTTAACAATTAAATTTGTATTTCGATCGGGTTTGGAGAAGATTTTTAAAACTTGAGTTTGCTTTAAGATATCGTATAATAAATAACAAATAATTTATTTTAATTTTAATTTAAAAATATATTTAAAAATATTAAAATATAATAAAATATTTTAAAACTTATTAAAAGTAATATTATATATTAATATATATCACATATTAGGGAAGGGAATGAATGAACTCAGTTTTTGGAGTAGGAAAAACATGCACCTAATCATTGATGAGCAAAATGCTTGGGATACGAGTCTTGTTAATTAATATATCTTGATGGTCAACTAAGTGCAAGATGTAAAGAGACAAAATTGCTTACTTTTGTGAGTGATGTATAAGGTTTATTTTGTGGTCATATAATCCTATTGCTGATATTCAATGTCGTATATGTGATTTCATATTAATTTGATTTGCATGGTTTTAGGAGGAAATTAAATTTTCAAAAATGCAGGTGCGAGTATACGTGCCACACGAGGCAACAAGATCAGAAGACAAGGCAATTGAATTGGAGGTATACAATCAAGGAATGGTTAAGACCGAGCTGTGCAACAAATGGCAGGAGACAGGCACATGCCCCTACGCCCAAAATTGCCAGTTTGCCCATGGAATCACCCAGCTACGTCCTGTCATTAGGCATCCAACGTATAAGACCAAGGTTTGTCGGATGGTTCTTGCTGGCCAGACCTGTCCGTACGGACACAGGTGCCACTTCCGTCATTCTCTTACCGATCAAGAGCGACTACTAATTTCGCGTTAATTCAAATTATTCGGCTAAAAAATTGTAAATATTTTGACGCTAATAAAATTCATCAAAATAATAGTCTCCACAGTCATAATTATAATAAAATAATAATTTTTACATAAAATAATAATTTTTAGTGACATATGGGGTTACTTACCGAAATTATGTGTGATAGCTACTGTTTTATTAATTGTACGCTATGTATGGGAGTTGTTTATAAGAGGAATAGATCATAAATGTATCACATGCAAAAGAAAATTTCATTTCTTTGTATATTTGATTTTGAGTTACATAATTGAAAGTAGTTCTCTTCTGTCTCATAAACTTTATTTCTGTTATTTCAAAATTCAAATTTAAAACCTCTTAAAATATTAAGTTCTAATTGGTAGGATATGATTTATTGGAAAATTTATATATTTTTTTATGAGGTAAGTACAATGACTTGGATTTAATGTTCATTTCACAATATGATGGGAGAAATTTTCACCAAATATATATCATTTTATGATTGGACTCGTAAAATTCAGTCATAAATGATAGTTATGGTGCAATGAAATTCCTTCACACCACCTTATTAAATGAACTCTTAAAAATTTTATCCAATACTTCACCTTACAACAAATGTACAACAGAAACGAGAAATTTTTTTTTTATGTACAAGTATAAGAAGAACAATAAAAAAAACATGAACTTTTGCAATGATGATGTTTGTTTGGTGGCACTATGCAACTTTCAGTTCAAGTTAGTTAAATTATCAATATATATTATAAATATTAATTATTCAAATCTGTCTCTTGTCTTGATCAATATGGAAATGCCTTTTGATGAAAGTGTAAGTGAGAACAAATGAATAGGAGAGATGCATCTGATGAACATGTTGTTTTTGTTCAATGTGTTTGTTGTTCGGTTAGATCACATGATTGCTAGCTATAACTGGTGGATCCATGCATCAAGTCCTATAACTTGCAGTTGGTGTATCCATGAGTATGCCATTACTATCTTTCTTTTATTTTTAGTAATAAAAAGTCGAACCTTAAATTTTATTTTTTAAAAATAATAACCCGTTATGCCAATAATTTTGTTTTCTTTTATAATTCGAGCAAAAATATTCTTACATTTTGTCTGTACTTAATATTTTTGCTTAATACCCAAATAAATATTCAAATTTTATTCCAAAATGCAAATAAACCCTCAATCTTTTATTGTATGAAATTAAATTTATGAACCTTTATTTTATTGTAATTACACTTGTTAAAGCTCAAAATTGGATGAATAATATCTAATTGATAGAATTTTTAACATAGTATTCACTTAAATATTCATCATTTAACTCATCAAAATGAATCTAAGTAAACATTATTTTTAAATTAAATCATTCAATTATAAAAATTAAACAAAAAATTAAATATTTATAACCATCAAAGTTTTAATTACAATGAAATAAAAATTTATAATCTTAATTTCATGTAATAAAAGATTGTGGCTCATTTATATTATAAAATAAAGTTGAAAACTTATTTAAGTATTATATCAATATTTTTTCAACGATTTCGAAGATTCAATCTCGCATATCGACTTGATGCATTATGATTTTACTCTAAAAATATTTTTTCACAAAAATCGAATCTGACTGTCAAGGAAATAGAGTTTCTCTCTTCTCTACAAGTGATTAGTCTTTTCACAACTTTTTAAGTTTCAGCTTTTCTCATGAATTACTATGGGGCCAAAATGAACAAGCGTTTTAAAATGCTAACACGAGTCAATAAACCCATAGAGGTGTTTTGGCAATTGGGTTTCTATTTATCATCTTATATTCTTAGGTTTGTCCATATGGTGGATAAGCAGCCCATAAATATAAACCATATTTTTTAAAGGGTTAATTTAGACAAAACCTGGGCCCAAGGAAATTTTTTATAAATAGCACATCGTTAAAAGTTAATAGTATAATTAAAGAATTAAATTGCATATTAACCTAATTTAAATTTACATGATGCAAACATAATCAAAGTTGAATTAGAGGGAGTCTTTGTTACGCCTGAAGCAATAATCACAACAATACAAAAGCAATAGACAACAATCAATAATCAAATGCGCAGGAAAAATAAAGCACACCAAGATTTACGTGGAAAACCCTCCAGTGTAGAGGGAAAAAACTACGGGCCACCAGAAAAATCTTCACTATCAAATAATAGTTATACAAAGTTCTTCTCTAGCTAAAACTAGAGCTAATCAACAACTAGAGAAACAATTGGAGAAATCTCACCAAATAAGTGACTCAACAAATACACCCTGAATTTGTTCTTAGAGAGCTTCAAACCCGATCTTCACCGTTCAGAATGTAGAACTCTGAATCATAAACCTCCTGACAAGGTTCCAACTTAATCGGACCACGGATTGACTTTCGTTTAACCAACTCTCCCTTCTCATTTTTCTCTCTCTGTTTTTTCTGGCTTTTCTTCTTTCTCTGCTTGATTTTCGATATACACCCTAAAACAACCCCACCTCTTTTTTATTAAGTAGCTAGGGCTCTGTGTAAAATAAAAGATCAAGGCCCATGGCCTTTACTTGGTCCAAAACCACTTACATGGGACTGGACCCCATTTTCCTAACAATCTCCCCCTTCAATCCCATTAGAAGGAGATTCATCACCATAGCAATTTCATTTGGAACTTACCTTGGCCAGGGAACTCATTCCGGCCAAGTTACTGCAAAGCTCAAGCTTTTCCCTGGGAAGTATCTTAGTCAACATATCTGCTACATTCTTATCAGTATGAACTTTCTTCAATAACATATGCTGTTCTTCAATCACTGAACGTAACCAATGATATCTGACATCAATGTGCTTTGTTCTAGCATGGTACATGGTATTCTTACTCAAATCTAAAGCATTCTGGCTATTACAAAATACCATATACTCTTTCTGATTCAACCCCAATTCAAAAAGAAAACGTTTCATCCAAAGCATTTCTTTACATGCTTCAGTTGCTGCAATATACTCAGCTTCTGTAGTTGACAAAGCAACACACTTCTGCAACTTAGACTGCCAAGATACAGCTCCTCCTGTAAAAGTGAACAAATACCATGAAGTAGATTTTCTATCATCAAGATCACCTGTCATGTCAACATCAGTAAACCCTTCTAGAATTGGTTGTGAAACTCCATAAGTCAAGCACATTTTTGAGGTACCCCTCAAATATCTAAAAATTCATTTTACTGCTTCTCAGTGAACCTTCCTTGGATTAGAAAGAAATCTGCTCACTACACCAACTGCATGAGCAATGTCAGGCCTTGTACAAATCATAAGATACATTAAAGAATCGACTGCAGAAGAATAAGGAATACTAGACATAGCTAGTTGCTCTTCCTTAGACACTGGACAAGATTTCTTACTTAGATGAAAATGGTTGGCAAGTGAACTGCTAACTGATTTAGCATGTTGCATGTTGAATCTACCAAGCACTCGTTCAACATACTTTTCCTGTGACAACCACAGCTTTTCAGCTCTCCTATCCCGGATAATGTCCATACCAAGGATCTGCTTTGTTGGACCTAAATCTTTCATATCAAAGGACTTAGACAATTGTTCTTTCAACCTGTAAACCATACTAACATCTTGTCCTACAATCAACATATCATCAACATATAATAATAGGATAATGAAGTTACCATTAGGAAATTGTTTAACATACACACAAGAATCTGCTGCTGTTCTTTTATAGCTATGACTCACCATAAAAGAATCAAACTTCTTGTACCACTGTCGTGGAGCTTGTTTCAAGCCATACAAGCTTTTCTTCAATTTGCAAACTAAGTGTTCTTTCCCTTTCACTTCAAAACCCTCAAGCTGATTCATATAAATGTCCTCCTGTAAATCACCATGCAAAAATGCAGTTTTAACATCAAGTTGCTCAAGTTCAAGATTCAAACTAGCTGCCAATCCCAGTACCACTCGAATAGAACTCATTTTTACAACTGGAGCAAAAATCTCATCAAAATCAATGCCTGGTTTCTGAGAAAAACCTTTTACTACCAATCGAGTTTTGTACCTCACTAGTTTGTCACCATCCTTTTTCAACTTGAACATCCATTTATTCTTTAATGGCCTCTTCCCTGTTAGAAGTTTAACAAGATCATAAGTACCATTCTTTCGCAATGACTCCATCTCTTCTTTCATTACTTTTAACCAGTGCTCTCTATCCGGAGTAGCCTACACATCTTGAAAGCTTTCTGGCTCCCCTTCACTGGTAACTAAAATAAAATTTGAACTTGGATACCTGGTAGATGGCCTGCGCTCTCTAGTAGATCTTCTGGGTTGATACTCTACATCACTTGATGCTGAAGGTAGCTTCCCTTGTTCAACACTCTCAGGTAGAGAAGATTGCTCCCCCTGCTCAAAACTAATAGCATCTGGCTCATCACCAACTGTGGCTGGCTCATTCATATCCCCAAGTTCTATTTCTGGCTCATTTTCACCATCTGTGGCTCTTTTCTGTGAAATTTCTGTCGGTGTTGAAACATCACACTCAACAGTAACTCGTGTAGTCTTCTTATTTTTCTCAAGGTCTGCTATGGTTTTTTTTTCATGAAAGACCACATCTCTGCTTCTGACTGTCTTTTTCTTTATTGGATCACATACCCTGTAGCCAAATTCCTCATCACCATATCCTACAAACACACACTGTGTAGCTTTACTGTCAAGCTTTGACCTCTGCTTTTTTGGCACATACATGAATGCTTTATACCCAAAAACTTTCAAGTGAGAGTATGAAGTATCTTTCCCTATCCACACTTTTTTTGGAATGTCAAAGCCCAAAGGAACTGATGGTGACCTGTTAAGTAAATAACAAGTTGTGTTGACTGCTTCACCTCAGAATGACTTTGGTAATTTTGCCATCCTCAACATACATCTGACTTTTTCCACAATGGTGTGATTCATTCTTTCAGCTATACCATTATGCTGCGGTGTTCCAGGTTCTGTCCTCTCATGCCTGATCCCATGCTTTGAGCAATACTCT